CAGGGACTTACACTCTGGACCTTGTCATCACTCACAAAATTCTATTTCCACGCTGGAGAGAGCACTGAAATTCCTTTATAGGACCATTCCATCTCTCCCTAAGCCTTACTCTTCCTAATCCTCTTCTCTATACCCATCGTGACCTTCAGTCCTTCTTTTTCTCAACCCAGACCATCACCCCTGCTAGGGGTACAACCTCTTCTCTTCCCAACCTCAATCCCCTTAAGGAATAAGTTTTACATGATTGTCACTTCCTAATAACTTCTCCCCTCATAAAGCTCTCTCCCGCAACAAAGAAAAATAATTATTTCTTCAGTTTTATCTTTCTACCAAAGAGTATGATCTTTGGACTGGAAAGGATTAAACAAAAATGACAATAAGAGAGTTGTTCATAAGATTATAAAAGAGAGCCTAATTGACCTCAAGGCGCTCAAATCACAAAGCCTTCAAGAACTATAACCCCAATTTCTTTTCTAGCTTCCATTTTACATTGTCTTTCCCCATTAGAATGTAAGGGAATTGTCTTTCTTTCTGTTTGTATTTGTATCTCCAGCGTTTACCATCGTGCCTGGCTCATAGTAAGTGCTTAATAAATGCTTGTGTATTTGACTTGACTATATCTCAGGGTACTAAAACAATTATTGCATATGATTGTTTAATCATGGCCAGTGATCTCTGAAACATAATGGAAAAGAAGGTAGGTGTTATAAGACTGTAGAGAGGAGAAAAGGAAAGAGAGTTGTGACTTTACGGTTGAGTCTAGGGAGCTTTAATTTGATTCTTAGTAAAATTCTAAAAAGCATTAATAAGAGGATAGTTAATGAACAGCTAGGAGAGGAAGCAATGAGCACCAAGCGCTAGCATTGCTTCCCCAAGAAAAAGTCAAACACCTACAATAACATACATGAAATCATTGAAAGGCAATTGAATCTTGATGAATTATAATGGCCTCCGTTGGCCCAGAGGCTAGATGATAAAACATTTTCCTCCTCCCATTAGAGAGGTTATAGACAAGTAGTGGGTCAGCTAAGTGGCATAGAGTGCCAGGCTTGGAAACAGGAAGACTCATCTTTATGAGTTCAAATCTGGCCTCAGACACTAATTAACTGTATGCCCCTGGGCAAGTCACTTAACCCTGTTTGCCTCAGTTTCCTCATCTGTCAAATGAACTGGAGAAGGAAATGGCAAACCACTCCAGTATCTTTGCCAAGAAAACCCCAAATGGGGTCACAACAGAACAAAGACAAGTAGCATCACATATGATGTTAAACACAGTCACTGTGTTGGCTGGCTTTGCTTAACTATTTTCTTCTTGTGTGTGTGTGTGTGTGTGTGTGTGTGTGTGTGTGTGTGTATAGATAGATAGATGGACAGATAGATATAGATATAGATAGATAGATAGATAGATAGATAGATAGATAGAGATAGAGATAGAGATACAGATAGTTTTTTTTTTTTTTGGCGAGGCAATCAGGGTTAAGTGACTTTTTCTTCCCATATTTTAATGAGGATTCAATGACAGAAATAGGAAGATATATTCAGAAAATAAATATATTTTTAAAAGCATCAATAAAACTTTTTTAAAACCCCATCTAGTTCATAGTTGACTAACCGACCTTTGTTGATATGGAAATTAAATTAGAAGATATGAAACACCATTTGACCAGATTTTGTCAAGTATTTGATGAAGCTTCTCATCTTAATTTTGTGAACAAGTTGGAGAGATGTGGATTAGATAATAGCACAGTTAGGTTATTTCAGAAGGGGCTGGCTATCAGTACAACCATTTTGGAAAGTGATTTGGAATTACATAAATAACGTGTCTAAAATGTTCATGCCCTTTGACTCTGAAATTCCACTATTAGGTTTATATTCCAAGGATGCCACTGATATACACCAAAATATTTATAGCAGCACTTTTTTCAATAGCAAAGACTTGGAAACAAAGTAGATGCCTATCAATTAGGGAATGGCTAAATAAATGATAAGAAATGCTAACTATGATGAATAAAGAAAAGTATGGAAAGATCTATATGAACTAATGTAAAGTAAAGTGAGCAGTCAAGAAAAACAATACATACATTGACTATAATAATTTAAATGGAAAGGACACTCCTTTTCAATAAAAATAAAAAATGAGTTTTGCAAAATTACAAAGCATGGTTCCAAAAGAAATATGAGAAGATGCCCCCAACCTGTCCCTTTGCAGAGGCAGGACACCCACATATGAAACATTGCACATATTTTTAGACTTTTGCAATGGATTGATCAGTTTGGCTGATTTTTTTCTCTTCATTTTTTGTCTTTAAAAATATTTTTTATATGAGATGGCTCTCAAAGAGGGGAAGGGGGGGGGAAGATATTGGGGAAATTTTTGGTGATGAAAAAAAGAAAAACAGAAGATCAGTTCTAAAAAAAATATTTTTAAAAAAGTAGTTGAATGGCTAGATTCATACTATAGTCATTAATGGCTGAAGGTCAATTTGGAAGGAAAATACTGGTGGATTGCTCCAGGACTCTATTTTGTCCTGTACTGGTTAATGTATCAACCAACTGGATGAAGGCACAAATAACATTCTTAGCATATTTGCAAGTAACACAAAGGTAGGTGAATTGGTTATTATCTAGTGGAAACAGCATTGGACTTGGAGATAGGAAAAACCTAGGTTTGAATTCTGCCTACAAATGAGATCATGTATATCAAGTGTTTTATAAACCATGAAGTGCTTTTAAAATATCAGCTCTGATTGTTCCTATGGTATGACCAAGTCTGACTGGAAGAGATCTTAAGAACTTTCACTTTTGGTTTTTGGCAGTTCTCCTTTCAATTTGAAGAAATCTTGACAAGCAAAGTCTAGGAAGATGAAATTAAATAGAAATGTAAAATCTACTGCTTGGATTGAAAAAGAAATCAACTTCACAGGTGCAAGATAGAAGAGAGAGAAACTCATCTGGAAAAGATCTGGGGTTTTTAGTGGACTCCAAGTTTAATATGAGTCAACCTTTTTATGAGGTATGTCAGCCAAAAAAAATTTAAGATAATCTTGGACTTCATTAAGAGGAATTGTGTCCAGACGGAGGACCATAGTATGGCTGCCACACTCTCCCCTCAAATCCCACCGTCTAGTCCCTGCCCCTGAGGCATTTACAATCTAGTAAAAAAAGGATCACTCAGTCAATCGACAAGCATTTATTAAGTGCTTCCTATGTGCCAGGCATTATGCTAAGCACTAGATTAAATATATTCACAGATAAATAAAATTCAGATCTGAATTTAAGTGCATGAGAGGAATGAAAAATTCCATAAGATGAAGGAGGAGGGATATAAGGGAGGGAACTCAAAACTGCCAAACTTAGGAAATTTCATCCACTGGCGTTTGCTTTGTCTCCAAAAGAAAATGGAAGCCCTGATGTAAATGAAAAGAATAATAGAAAGAAACTTGATCTCTCTATAATTGTAATGAACAATCTTGACCTTTTGAAGAGATTAGGTGATATACCTCCCTTCAATGAAGAGATGGGAGGCTATGTATGTGGAATGTTGTATATGTGATTAGATAAGATGGGTACCTATGTTGCCTTAGCTAATTTTTTTTTTCCTTTTTGGTGAGGCAATTGGGTTTAAGTGACTTGCCCAGAGTCACACAGCTAGTAAGTGTCAAGTGTCTGAGGCCGGATTTGAACTCAGGTCCTCCTGATTCTGAGGCCAGAGCTCTATCCACTGCACCACCTAGCTGCCCCTTTCTTTCTTTCTTTCTCTCTTTTTCTTTCTTTCTTTCTTTCTTTTTCTTTCTTTCTCTTTCTTTCTTTCTCTTTCTTTCTTTCTTTTCTTTCTGTCTTTTTTTTTTACAAGAGAAGGATAGGGGCAGGGAATGCTCACTGGTCAAAGGAGTGGGAAGGTGGAAATATACAGAAATAATAAAAACAAAAGACACAAAGGATAAAAAAAGTTGAGGCTCAGGATTTTATGAAAACTGTGTAGCAGCAATAAAGATCAAGTCATTAGGAGAGCTTCTCCTTCCCTTATACTTCAGGACTGGTGCTCTATCCACTGGGCCACCTAGATGCCCCCTTTCCTATTACTCTTGAGGGCACCAGAATATTTCCAGTCACCCAGGCTCACAATCTCGCGTCATCTTCCATGCCTGACTTTCCATCACCCTACTTATCCAATTAGTTGCCAAGTCTTGTCATTTCTATCTATCCCACAGCAAATCTTACACCTGTCTCCTTCTTTGTATTCACACAGTCACTACCAGAGTCCATCCCCAATTACCTGGAAGGACAACTGCAGTAGCTTCCCACTCAGTCTCCCTGCCTCAAGTCTTTCCCACTCCAGTCAAGGTGCCAAAAGATTTTCCTTAAATGCATCTCTGATGAAACCATTCTCCTCAATAAACTTTAGTGACTCTAAGATCAAATATTATTTCTTCTTTATCTCATCCTTTTAAAATGTCTATTTTATGTAAGTCTTATGATATACCTAATTATTAATATTGTCACAGACATTAATAAATAAGTAAATATATTTGTTATTTAGTTGTTTCAGTCATATCCAACTCTTTATGACCCCATTTGGGGTTTTCTTAGCAAATATACAAGCTGGTTTGCCATTTCCTTCTCCAGCTCATTTAACAGGTGAAGAAACTGAGGCAAACAGGGTTAAGTGACTTGCTAAGGTCATACAGCTAGTAAGTATCTGAAGCCAGATATGAACTCACAAAGATGAGTCTTCCTGACCCTAAGCCCAGCACTCTATCCACTGTGTCACCTAGCTTCTCTAAGTAAATATATATATATATATACATACATATATATACATATATACATATGCTCAAAATGCTTAAAATGTTTTTATTGATCAAGTGTCTGGTCAGAAAAGTTTGGAGACCACTACTCAAGATACATGATAACTCCAGCCAAGGCCAAGACTTCTCTTTATTAAAGAGGTCTTTCCCAGACCTCTTAACATCTCTGAGTATAGACCCTCAATCTCTTACCTGATCCATCGGCAGAATCATCGAATTCAACCTGGAACAAGTATCCTGTATTCCATACATGAAGACAACAAGATGGGTCATAGGAGATTTTCAGGGGTTTCAAGTGAGGGTCATAGACACTGTCTTTCCACTGGATATTGATAGGAGATTGCTGAGTGCCTCCTGGTACAGACATGGGGCTTGTCCAGAGTGGATGTACTATAATCCAGAAAAAAGTACACTGTGTTGATGAAGCCAATTCGGCCATCACCCTATTAGCCCAACCCGAAGCATTAGAACCTTGGGCAAACCAAGTTGCCATTTGGATTTTGATTCAGTGAAACCAGACCAGACACTCTAAAAGAAAAGGAATTAAAGTAACATTTTGGGTATTTGCCTTTAGGGTTGATTGTTAAATTTTCACTGTGAGCATTTACACCTTGCAATCCGCAAACACTACAGATTAGCACTTCATTTATTGTTATGTTGATTTCTAGGCTTAGAAAGTGAGGGACATCATATTAATAATGCAGATTAAGCTTAAAGGTGTGTCATGGTTACATAGTTCTTTTGGAGAGCCAGTGGTTAAATGTTAAGCACCACCACCACCACCAACCCCTGCATGCGCATTATTTGGCAAGGCAACATAGAGTAGCTGACAGAGGACTGAAATTAGAGTCAGGAAGATTTGTATTCAAATCTTGTTTCTGAGACCAAGTAGCTGTGGGATAGTAAGCAAATTACTTAACTTCCTCAGGTGTGCTTCTCCATTTACTAAATGGGGCTACCCTAGCAATGAGCCTCTCACAATGGTTGTGAGGCTCAAATAAGACAGACAGACAGATAGATAGATATATAGATAGATACACATATGTATGTATGTATGTACATATACATACACATATATATAATGTGCTTTTCCAACTTTCAAGGGTTATATAAATTCATTAATTCAGTAGAATTAAGGGAAATAGTACCTACTATGTGCTGGGCCCTAGGGAATATAAAGAAATAATAGGAAAGTTCCTGCCCTCTAGGAGCTTACATTCTTTTTTGAGGAGATGCTACCCTTATATGGAGAAGCAAATATAAGGTATAAATGAAGTTATATGAGAACAACTTTAAGGGAAAGAAATAAACAGCCATGCAGTGGGGGTGTCAGGAGATGGCTCTCTTAGGAAATGGTGCCTGAGCTAGGCTTTTAAGGAAGGTAGGGACTCTTGGAGATGAAGGGAAGGAGGACACGTGGACACACCTGGGGACACCTGTGTAAAGGCACAGAAGTGAGAGATGAGGGTCAGGCACTGAAAGCATACTTGGAAAGAAGCCATACCAAGCACAGTCATTGGTTTCCCTAAAGCACAGGTCTGAAGTTTAACTGCTGCCCTCTCGCCTCTAGGGAAAAATACACATTCCTTTGTTTGGCTTTTAAAACTCTTTCTGGACGTGGCTCCAGTCCACTTCTCTAGCCTGATGGCCCACCCTTCATGTACTCTGCAGCAGGGCCAGACTGACTTTACTTTATTCTTCATTTCGGGCTTTCTGCCTCTTCACCCAGCGCCTTTGCAGAAGCTTGTCATCCCCCTTCCCCCCACATACACAGACCCTATCCCTGAAATGCCCTCCAGCCTCGCCTCTGCCTCCTCTGAAGAATCCCTTCCTTCAAAGCTCAACTAAAAGGCCTGATCTGCATAGTTGCTAACAACATCCCCTCCCCCAAATTACTTGGCACCAACTTTGTGTGTGTGTACATTCATATAAGCATGTATGCTCAGTCACATACATGTGCATATATATGTTCATAAATACATATATGGGAGGAAGAAAACAGAACAAGCCTTTATTAAGTGCCTACTATGTGCTAGGCATTCTGCTTGGTACTTTACAAATGTTATTTCATTTGAGTTTCACAACAACCATGCAAGGTAGATGCTTTTTTTAATTCCCATTTTACAGTTGAGGAAACTGAGGCAAACAGTGGTTAAGTGATATATGTATATAGTTTGTATTTCCTTTTCTGTACACATGTTGTTTCCTTCTAATAGAAGGTAAACACCTGAAGGGCTTGCCTGTTTCTTCTTTCTCTGTATCCTCAATTCTTAGTACACTGGCTGCATGTAAGTGGTTAGTGGATGAATGAATGAATGAATGAATGAATGAAACAAGATTGGAAAGGCATTTTAACTTAAGATGAAAGCTTATTGACTGCTCCCTATGATTTTCACTTAAAAATCTTTTTTCTGTCTCTCAAACTTTTGAGTTTATTTGCCATTCATTGCTAATGTCTCAGGCATAATTTTGGTTTATTTTACTGTTACTTTCACAGAACTTGGTCACAATGGGTGGACTTTCCTGATGCTTAATGTCCCTGAATGACATGAACACAGACCCAAGATGATGAAGTCCATGGCCACCGTTAATGTTTTTTGGCAAAGAACCAAGAAGGGTCCTTGCTGTTCTCTTGCAAAGTTAGCCAATGGAAGGCGGAGGGTTAAAGGTAGTGAACCAGGGTAGTGGTACTAGGGAGGGTCCTGTTGTAGAGGATAAGGAGGTAAGACTCTTAGGTTGTGGAACTTTCAGGAAATGTCTCACTGTCTCCAGCAAACATTTATTTTTGAATTGTACTCTTTAACTTTTCCTATAAGTGAATGGTATGGAGGTGACCCTTGAAGGACATGCCAGCAATGATGAAGCTCTGACAGGTCCTACCAGGTTGGAAAGGTTTCCAGGACCAGGCCAGGCATGTATTGTTTGCTCCATGAGGACTATCCTAGCTAAGTTGAGAAGATCATCACCACGTTGGTAGCTGAGGATGAATCCTTTGGCCACAGCAATAATTCCCAATCTTCTACTAAATTATAGAGGAGTTGTGACCAGCAAAGGTGAAGGGAATACTCACCCCCAAAAATTCCAGATCATCAGATTCCAAGCCAATGTTAAGGGAGGTAATGGAGTTTGGTGCCAAGGGACCCAGACTTGAGATTAGAAGGCCTTTCTGAGTTCTCTTCCTATCATCTGCTAACTACGCTAAAAGGAAAGCATGCTCAACTGGGGAACCAGAGAGTGGTGGTACTAAAGAGGGGTACAGGTGGTGGAGGGCAGGGGGTGAGACTTGGGTTGTGGGGCTTAGAAGGGTATGAGGCACTGGGAAAGCAGGCACTGAGAGGGTGAGGCGGAAACCTCTTTCATAGTTTTGTCTGGGCTAGTCCATATGTTCCCCTCACATATACGTTTCTAATAATATTTTTAAAAAATCAAGAGATCTTAGAGCTGGAAGGGATTTTAGAAGGCATCAAGTTCAATCTCATTTTATTTTTTTATTTTTTTTATTTTTTTCCAATCTCATTTTATAAGTAAGGAAACTGAGGTGCAGAGAAGTTCATTGATTTGCCCAGGGTTACTTATCATTGCTGCTGTTTGGTTACATCCGACTCTTTGCGACTCATTTGGAATTTTCTTGGCAAAGATACTGAAGTGATTTGCCATTTCCTTGTCCAGTTCATTTTACAGATGAGGAAACTGAGGCAAACAGGGTTAAGTCCCAGGGTCATACAGCTACTAAGTGTTAGAGGCCAGATTTGAACTCATGGAGATGAGTCTTCCTGACCCTAGGCCCGGCACTCTATCTACTGCACCACCTAGCTATCTGCCTCGGGTCACACAATTAGGAAATATCTGAGCCTGGATTTGCACAGAAGTCTTCTTGGGCTCCATCCACTACACCAAGTTACCTCTTAATACCACTACAATCAAAATGATTAGTTTGATTGGACTATGCCCCCACTGTTAAAACAAAATGGAAAACAGAGGTAATGGTTGGGTAAACCTACCTTTAAAGCTAATTAATTAAAGAATTTCCTCAAATTTTAGCTTAAATAACAGCAGTACCATAAAGTGGATAGAATCCTGGATTTACCATCAGGAGAGACCTAGGTTCACATTCCAGATTGGACTCTTAAAAATTACATGACCTCAATCAAATTACTTATTCTCTCTGAGCCTCAATTTTCCTTATCAATAAAATGGAGCTAATAGTACTTGCAGAGCAAGCCCTTTATAGACCTTCAAGGACTATATGAATCATCATGAGGCTTATCCTTAGTTGTACTTACTTGGAACAAGGAGCTGAAATGGTCTTGCAATAGATACGTTTTTAATAATCTGGGCAAAAAAGGCTTTTCAGTCAGGCCAACAAAACACCTTCACTTAGGCCTACGGCAATTTGTATCAAATCACGTAAATTCAGGAGGAAAATTGGGAGCCTGTCATACCCACACAAGATTACAGGAGCTTGTGATACCCATTTCTTCTCTGAGTTGACCTCTGGTCTCATTGCCAAAAAGGTTTCCATTGATTCCTTCACCTCTCTCTATTGTCCCTCTCTTTGAGTCTTAGGGCATTAGGGACAATGGAAAGGTAAGGGATATGAGGAGAAGGTCAGCATGGAGATAGGGAGTGGGAAGAAACTGGCCAGGGCAGGGAGGAAAAAGAAGATTCACAAGACCACAGGGGAAGCTAGTTCATTAAGCCATTCATAAGGGAAAAAAAGTTGGGGATTTCAAGAGAGAGGAAGAGAGGGGTATATTTAGCCCTGAAATTTAATTTCTGGACTGAGTGAGGGTCTAGATAAGATGTTCTAATTAATGTAGCAATAAAATGGCATAGATTGTACTGGAAGATGTGTCCATTGATCCAATGAGAAATATTAATATGCACCAATTCAATTTATTTCTGCACATAAGTCCTCCAATGACTGATATGGTGTTGAGTCTGGGTTGTTCATGGCTATGCCAGTGAGACACAAGCTTGGTCCCATCCAACCAAGCTGAAAAGCCTTATAATGCTGTTATGGGACCTACCCCGTTAAGGGAGGAGGGACTCATCACTAGAAGGTTGGTGCTAGGTGATGGGTTCTTTGGCCATGGTGACTCATGAAATAGATGAAAAAACAACAACAACAACAACAACAAAATGGCTCCTAGTCCTGGAGGAGCCCCTGTTCACCATCCACAAGCATTAACAAGGTCATGAGCTTGCCACTGGAAGACCTATACCTCATTCACGCTGTCATTAAGGCCTTCAAATGACAAGCCTTCCATGGGATCCCCAGTGCCTACCAAATATGGTATAAACTCCTGATCCTGGCCTTTAATATTCTCCACAATTTGGCTCTAACTTGTCTTCCCAAGACCCATCTCATATTGTTCCTCTTTATATATTCTGAAATCTAGCCAACTGGGACTACTCTCTGGACTCATACTCCATCTTGCCTCCATGATTTTGCTCATGCCATCATCCAAACCTGTAATGCAATCCTATGTCTTCTGTCTCACCCCATTTCTGTCAGTAGAAGCCTATTCCTTCTTTCAAGGTCCAGTTCAGGGGCTTCCTCCTCCATGAAGCTCCTCCTGAGCTCCCTTACTGTACCCTACAGAGAAAGTACTATTTCTTACCTCAAACTTTCCATTATGTTTTGCTTGGGTCCATCTTCCTCATATCAGAGTTATCTGTGGGCATGTTTTTATTTATCCCCTACCCCATTAGATTGTAAGCTTTGAGACTACAGTCTATGTCCTATTGTCCAAGGTCCTAAGTTTTCTTTGCATCTGTAGCACCCCATGTATAGTATTCATTGAATAAATATTATACCCATTTTAACCACCTCTTGGACTCTTTTCATATGGCAAAATCTCTAAACCACCCATAAACTAACCATTCATTGCCATCTTTCCAAGTACAAATGGAAGTTACATTTCCTAAGAATGATTTCAGCTAGTGTGTGTCATCCTCAGGATGAAAGTAAAGCCCCTGCTATTGTTGGGTTGGTAACTTCTGAGGGGAAAAGAACAGAAGCCCAGTGTCACAGAGCAATCCAAAAAGTTAATGCATTCTTAGTCTTGCACAGGGAATGGTATGATCAGGAGTGAATGGAGAAAATAAAAGGTATGTCTGGGAATCAAGGAGTAGTCCAGTCTAGATAGAGCAGAAGGTTCTCATAGAAGAATTAGCAAAAAGATAATCCTAGAAAGATGGATCAGGGTTCATGGAAGACCTAGAATCATAATGTAATTGTTACCTTATGGTTTCATATAGTCCTTATAACAACTCTGTGTTCTAAGTGGTATAAATATCATAATTCTACAGCTGAGGAAATAAGCTTGGAAAAACCTAATTCTATGCATTAATAGAAGCATAGTGTCCCAAATGAGAGAGTGATAATTTGAGTGAACTCTGCCCTGGTTGTACACATTTGGAATATTGTTCTAGGAACCACATCTTAGGGAGGAAATTGTCAAGCATGTTCTAAGGAGAGTCGCAAAGATGGCAGGTGGACTGGAGGCCAGAAATATGATTAGCTAAAACCTGGAGAAGAGGACCTAGAAGGAATATGACTCCTATCCTCAAATATTTGAAGGGCTGTCATTTAGTAGAGGTATTACACTTGTCCTGATGGACCCCAGAAGGTAGAACAGAGAGCAAAAGTTAGAAGCTACACAGAGGCAAATTTTGGCATGAGAGAAGGAAAAAACCCTAATTTTTAACCATTAAAATTGTTCCAAAGTGGAACGGGCTGCCTCACAAGGAGGTAAAGTAGATAAGAAGGACCCTATTTGTCAGTACATTATAGAGAGTATTTTCGTGTATACTCACTGCTCTTAAATCAAGAACAACCACATGTTGACTTACAGGATTTATTCCTATTTCTTAGAACACAGGAATCCCCGGTGCATGCCCTTTCTGGTCTCATCTGGTGACGCCTGGGACTTCCTCTCACTTGTTTGCCAAAAAACAGGGAACTCAAACCTCTGAGGTTGTTGAAGACCAAGATCTTGGCTCTGGACATCCTGGGCTGTTCCACTCTCGAGTCCCAATGTTTCACAGCACCCAGTGGACACTCCAGTTTGTATCTGATGGATGGATACTTGTTCTCCTTTTGACGGTTATTATGCCCAAACCAGGCTGTACCTCCTACACCATACAGAAGGCCTCCCGAATCTCAGGGCCAAATAGTTAATCTTCAAACTATCCCTGTCCTGACCCTTCACCCCAGGCTGATGCTAAATTTTGTTTGAGAATCGAGTGGGACAACTGGGATTGGCTGTATAGATCTGATTTGTATCTCTGTCCTTTGGTTTTGTCAACATGGGTTAGTTGGCCAACATGATGGGGTGAATTATTCTCAGAATAGGACTTAAGGAAGGATATAAGATAGAGGATACATGATTCTGACCCTTAGTAAATTACACTTTAGCTTGAGAAGATAAGACTTTACTAAATCAAACACCTAGAAAAAATGAAAAATGTACAGATTGACACAAGAAATGACCTTCTTAACACAGAGCCAGAGTGAAGCAAAATCACTTTGTCTTGCTTTGCCTTTTCTCTTACCTCTCCCTATCTCCCCATTTAAGTATCCAAGGCCTTCAACTCTTTTCAAATATGCAAGATAATGTGATTATAGCTCCCAAGATGAAAGGGATCTTAGCAGTCATTCAGTCCAGTCTCCTTGTTTAACAAGTGAGGAAACTGAGACCCACAGAGTCCAAGGTCACACAGATAGCTAATGGCAGAGTTAGGATTTGAACTCATCTTGTAACTCCAAATTCAACAATCCAGGTTCATCTCACTTTCTACTGTTATTAATCTGCTTCTCCAGCCAAGCTCTCTTTACCTCTTGTCTATAGCAAAACCTCTTTTTATGAAAGGCAACGTGTCAGTCATTTATACCTTCGTGTGAACTTAAATCTAGTTGCTACCTTTCCCAAGGGAATATGAATTTTAAGTCATCTCTGAAGCAGGGGAAGGAGGGAGTAAAAACTTTTGTCTCTGGTTAAGGAAGTTTAAACAATTCCAACAAGGTGGGAGAGTTTTTTTGTCTGTAGGAAATTATTTCTTCTGTAAAAGAGAAAAGAGCTTTGGATTTGGAGTCAGAGGGCATGGATTCAAAACTGGCAGTCACTACATGTGTAACCCTAAGCAAGTCACATCACCTCTCTCTGAGAATCAGTTTCCTCATCTGTAAAAGGAGGAGATTGGACTAGGTGACTTTGGGGGTCCCTTCCAGCTCCAATGAATCCCCTTGACAATACTTCCAAGAACTGGTCAGTAAGATCACTACTTAAAAGATTCTGAACTTGGAATCAGGGAGACCTTAATTCAAATTCTGTCTCAGACACTTAACTAGTTGCACAACCTTGGGTTAGTCATTTAACTTCTGTCTGCCTCAGTTTCCTCATCTGTTTAAGAAAATGAATGAGTTGGACTCTCTACAGTCTCTAAACCCTTCTGGCTCTATATCTATGGGCTTATGATCAATGCCTTATGCACAGGAGGGACCCAGTAAATACTCGTGAATGAATGAATGAACAAATGAAAGGGCTGCCACACATGAAAGCTACTCAGCTAGACTGTTCCAGTTATTTTGTCTAATCATCGGCAGACTTTCTGGATTAATTCAGGTTGGGTAAAATACAGACCAAGAAAATATTTAAGCAAGTGGTGTTTATCTTAAAGGCTCATGGAAAACATTGGCTTTCAGTAATCTGCATGCCTGGAAAAATGAAGGACATTCTCTTGTTAGGATTGATCCATCCCAAAGATATTAAAGGGACTGGCCCCACCCCCCACCCCCAAGCATTGGGTCACCTAACCTTTCTGGGCTTCAATTTCCTCATCTGTAAAATAGGAGTAGGTGGTCTAGGAGTGGTGTCAAACTCAAATAGAAACAGAGGTCTCTAAACTGTACATAAGGATTTCCATGGACTGTATTTCAACTTAGAAAACCATTTCTTTTTATATTAGTTTGCCAGTACATTAAAATCAGATAAAAACTACATTTTAATCTGGTTCATCCTTGACTCAGGAGTGTTATGGGCCCCATGTGGCCCACAGGCTGGGTTTTTGATCCTTTTGGTCTATATGCCTTTCAAGGCCTCTTCAAGCTCTCAATCAATGATCTTATGGTCCCATTCTGTTCTTTACTGCAAAACCTGAACACTTGGGTCATTAAAACACACAAACAACAAATGCAGAGATGTCTAATTTATGTGAATAGAACCATGCTATGGTTCTTTATGCACTATCATTATTCTTATTGTTTTAATTATTTCTGACTTCATGAGACTGGAAAACTTCTGAGTGTATCCTCTGACTCTTCAGAATCTTTCAGTTAGCCAACTTGGAAAGAAAGAAAGGAAGGAAGGAAGGGAGAGAGGGAAGAAGGGAAGAAGGGAAGAAAGAAAAGAAGGAAGGAAGAAAAAAGGAAAGAAAGAAGGAAAAAGAAAAGGAGGAAAGAAAGAAGGAAGGAAAGAAACCATTTGGACTTCTAAGCTAATAGTATTTTGGTTAGACTTATTTCTCTCCCCTAATCCCTGTTGTTTTTGTGTTTAAAAAAAATCTGGATCCAAAATAGTGCTGGGAATGAATGTTGTGGATAGGTAGATTAGTCCTATGGGTCATCTTTTAAAGTCTTTGTTTAAATCAACCTTTACCTGGGGGCAGGTCTTTCTGCAAAAACCCTCCTTTCCTTCTCTCTTCTTGAAAGTAAGCATTCTAGACCTCAGCCAAGACATGACAAAATTCACCACCCTCCATTCATTGAATAATACAAGGGGACCATGGGTGTCAAATGGAACATGTATAGTTAGAGCCATTTGCTATGTTAGTTATTTTTTTTCTCAGTTGTTTTTCTTTTTAAAAAGGGAATACTTTCTTGGGGGAAGGAGGGAAGAGGAGAGGAAAGGTAGCTCTGGAAATTACTGTGATGTAAAAACAAGTATCAATAGAACTTCTAAAAATAAGCCATGGAAGATGATGGAGTACAGGTAGTGACCCAGCTGAATTCTCCCAACACTCCCTTCCAAACAACTTTAAATTAAAATAACTCTTCAAATCAAATTTTGGAGCAGCAAAGCCAACAAAAGGTCAGAGTGAGATGTTTTTACAGACTAAGACAACTTAGAAGGTTTGAAGGTGAGATCTGTGACACTGGAGAGGGGTGGGGGCTGCCTGGAATGTAGCAGTGACAGTAGCAGGGGTGGGCTTTGGAGGTGACCCCAATAGCAGCAGCAGCAGCAGCTTTGGGAGCTTATAGCCCAGAGATGGTAAGGGGGGTCAAAAAACTGGTCAGGTGCAACTGGTTCTGATTGACAACTCTTGTCCATAAGCAGTTCTGGGTCACAGTTCCAGGATGAAGAAGAATGCTTGTGGTTGTTCACAAAGGAGCTGGGGCCCTGCTCACAGCTCCAAGGCAGAAAGGAGGTCTATCACTTGTGGTTGCAGGCAAGCAGGGCCCCTTCCTGGGTAAAGACCGGAGCCCAGACCAGAAGAGCAGTGACCACACCTCTTCCTGGATCACACCATCTTGTAAACTTGCAGAACTCCAGAATAGGCTCTGAAAATAGAGGCACAAAAAAGCCTGAAACTTGGGACAGCACCTCCCCACCTCCAGGTGAGCAGAGCCAAACTTGAATATAAAGTTCAAAGTCAGGAAATAGACTGGAAAAATAAACAAACAACAACAAAAAAGAATTTGACCATAAAAAGTAACATAGTGGTAGTGAAGACCAAGACATAAACTCAGAAGAAAACAACAGTGTGAAAACATCTACAAACAAAGTCTCAAACAAAAATACTAATTAAACACAAGCTCAATAAGAATTCTTGGAAAAGTTAAAAAAAGAGAAAAGAGTGGTAGAGGAAATATTGGGGAAAGAAATGAGAGTGATGCAAGAAAATTATGAAAAGAAAATTAACAGCTTGGTAAAAGAGGCATAAAAAAGTACTGAAGAAAAGAACACCTTAAAAAACAGAATTGGCCTAATGGTAAAAGAGGCACAAAAATTTATTGAAGAAAAGAATTCCTTAAAAAGCAGAATTACCCAAATGGAAAAAAGGTACAAAAACTCACTGGAAAAAAAAAAACTTAATTTCCTTAAAAATTCCTTAAAATTCCTTAATTCCTTAAAAATTACAATTGGGCAAGTGGAGGCTAATGACTCCATGAAACATCAAAAAACAATCAAAGTCAGTATCTCATTGGAAAAATAACTGACCTAGGAAATAGATCCAGGAAAGATAGTTTAAGAATTATTGGACTACCTGAAAGCTGTGATCAAAAAGAAAAAAAAAAAGAACCTAGACATCAAATTTCAAGGTAGCATAAAGAAAAACTACTCCAAGGAGATCCAGAGGGCAAAATAGAAATTGAAAGAATATACCAATCACCTCCTGAAAGAGATCCCAAAATGAAAACTCTCAGGAATATTACAGCCAAACTCCAGAGCTCCCAAGTCAAGGAGAAAATATTACAATTTCTGTCAGAAAGAAACAATTCAAATTTTACAGAGCTACATTAAGGATTTAGCAGCTTTAACATTAAAAGAGCAAAGGGCTTGGAATATGATGTTACAGAAGGCTGTACTTTGTTGGTAATATATAGAAATGCTGATGATTTATGTGGGTTTATTTTATATCCTGCAGTTTTGTTAAAGTTTTTAATTATTCCAACTAGTTTTTTAGTTGATTCTTTAGGATTCTCTAAGTATATCATCATACCATCTTCAAAGAGTGATAGTTTTGTTTCCTCACTGCCTATTCTACTTCCTTCAATTTCTTTTTCATCTCTTATTTCTATAGCTAACATTTCTAGTATAATATTGAATAATAGTAGTGATAATGGGTATCCTTCCTTCACCCTTGATCTTATTGGGAAGACTTCTAGCTTATACCCATTGCAGATAATGCTTGCTAATGGTTTTAGATAAATACTACTTATCATGGTAAGGAAAGCTAGATTTATTCCTATGTTCTCCAGTGTTTTTAACAGGAATGGATGTTATATTTTGTTATATTTTCTGCATCTATTGAGATAATCATATGATTTTTGTTGGTTT